ATAAAATAATACTCGGTGTACACAGAAAAAAAACTAAGATGAAACTTATCCGGTCRTATATTAAAGGCCCACTTTCACCAAAAAAAATTTGCGATCGCTTACTTTGGTTTAAAAGTGGTCTGTTGTTGAGAGGAAAAAAAAGGTTGGCTCAAAATGAAAGACCGCAAATTTTCGAATGAAAAAATCGAAAAAAAATCTCGGTCGTACGTATTGTATTAGTATAATTAAAAACTCATATATAAAAAAAAAGCTACTAGGCCAATAGAATGAGCCTATTTGGTCACATGCATGGACCAAAAAAAATGATGAAACACTCCTTATTAGTATTCTTTATGTAAAGAATACTAATAAAAAAAACCTTTATCAGATATAAAGGTCCATGACCCTAGCAAAGGTCTCAGGTTTGAAACCTGATCATTGACCATTGCAGGATGTCAACCGATTTCAGTGAACAGCCAAAAAAAATTCTATTTTACTTCATGCGTATTCAATGTGGGATGACAAGAGTGCTAAAAAAAATGATTCGCGCATGATCAGTTGGCCCCATTTATCTCTGAACATATTTGTACGGCAATTTCTCCAAGAATTTTAACGGATTTGAGTTTCAAATTAGTGTTGGAAAAAAAAAAGCCGTTTAAAACACTCGAGATCCTTCGGCTCGAATCTTTATACCAAAAAAAACTCTCTCTCGTGTTTTAAACTACAATTGAAACTATACATAAAGCAAAAAAAAAAAAGTTTTCTGAGCATCCGTTCAATCGTCAAAATAACACGCTGTAAGATTGCTGCCTAAATTTTCGCTGGTCTATAACTACAAGGCTTATGTTCCATGACGAAAAAAAAATAAAATTATTGGACTAGGAATTTATATATCTGAAAACTCTTTTTAAAAAAAAATGTCAAGAAAAGGAAAGGTTGTACTCGTCGACAAGAGTACGATTACAAAAAAAACCAGAATAGACGCCGTCCCCGAATAGACGCCGCCCTCGAATAATCGAAAAAAAAGGATCGTGCAAAATGAAATAAACGCCGCGGCGTCTATTCGAGTAAAAAAAAAAACTGCAGTTTTGCAATAAAAAGTAGTTTCAGAGCTGCACTACTTGCAAAAAAAAAATGAAACAATCTAAAACAGTTTATTCAGAGACTGCATTCGATCAGCAATAGTAATTTATGCGAATAGATTAACATAAATTTGACGTCATTCGAAATCATATTGTGACGTCACCTTCCATCTACTCATCGGACGCACGGTCGGTTGGTTTGAAGGAAAAAAAAAAAGAAGCCCTTTAAGATCATCCTTAAGAGACGCAAAGAAGAGTACAAAAAAAAAACAAGGCACAGACAATTACAATGGTGCAGATGTTTTAGATTCAAAAAAAAAAATCATCTAAAACGCATCCTTTGAAGCTTGAAAAAGATGACGGCGGCCAAAAAAAAACGTCATATTCCTTCAACCAATCATGAGGACGCGTGAGTACGATTAAAAAAAAAGTCAATGCCCTAAGAATTCGTCGCATCTCATTGGTTTAGCGTCAGAGCTGGAAGCCAATCAGAGGCAAGATAGTATTTGGTCATGCGTGGTGTGTCTTGCGGCGTTTTTGTCTTGTGTGGTTACGCAAGGTCTTCACGGAAGCTTTGGACTTGTTTACGTCGCACTTTTGGATAACTTTGGACAGTCAAAGGCGGTAACAGGTATTATAAAAAAAATTTTAACCAAAACCTGTTTCCGATTTTCCACGTAAAACTGGATGCTAAAAAAAATCAGCATGGGTTGGGTCAGCGGCTTTAGCCATTGCATGTCTATTCTAAAAAAAAGTAGGTGTACTTTGTAACCGATACGGCTATAGACGTGTTACCATTGGTGGAGGCTTGACATGCGCGACAGGATTATTCCTAACTGCGCATGCACCTAATCAAAAAAAAGTGTACATCACCTATACCATAATATTCGGCTTCGGAGCCAGCTGYGAAAAAAAATCGGCGTTCATCGTCGTAACAGATTACTTTTCCAAGTGGCGTTCCTAAAAAAAAGGAATCACGTGTGCAGGGAGCAGCTGTGGTGTGTTGGTGATGACGCAAAAAAAATCGGTATGTGCACGTTGGCATATTTGCACAGAGAATAAGTTTGTTAAAAAAAAAATATACTTAAAAGTGAGCTTGAAAAATGGTATTTTCCCCTGATGAAAAAAAAAAATTTCGAGAGTGATGCACCATTGGATTGAAGAAAAGACCAACTGAAAAAAAAAAGTGTGTCAAGCTGTTTTGCGAACAACGGGCATTACATAAAGTATGCAAAAAAAATCTCTGCGCCATCCTAAAGGTAGCYGTGCTTTTGCATCGAATGGAGACAACCATTGAGCGTGCAATGATAGATACCTGTGAATAATTGTCTGTAGGTATGAAAAAAAATATCTATCATTGCACGCTCAATGGTCGTCTCGCCTCGATGAAAAGGAAAAAAAACCATTCAAGACGGCATGAGGAACCATGAAGGAGACAAGTGTACTATAAAAAAAATTTGAGTATTTTTTAGAGTGCAGCATCAATTCCAGATAATGTTAAACTCTCTCTATAGAATACAAGGTTCATTTAGCAAAGAAACCTCGTGTACCCGCCATCTAGCTTGATAGGCTTAATCAATATTASGATACACTTTTAGCTTCGCAAATCAATATGACTTCATCAGGTTCGAGGACATTCATTCGTTCATTCTTTCCCAGGCTCTAAAAAAAACCTACGACTGGGAGACAACATTCAGTATTCTCGCTCTCATTGCCCTAAAAAAAAGTCTATGTGGCTTYACATATGATCCGAGCATCCGCGAACACCTGGGAAAAAAAACAAACAAACCTAGTCTGAAGTCGTTGAAATTATTGGATTTCTCGGTGTGGAAGATTCCTAGTTTCAGCGTATATGCCTTCTCTTTGTCTGTCATAGTCTTTGGTTACTATATACCGCGGGCTCATTTGGTAAGTACAGCTAAAAACAAGAAAATCCAATTTACCTTTTTTGATATAAACTGTTTTGTCGTTCCAGGCCCGATACTGCGAGGACCTGGGTATTAGTACTAAGCAATCGGCTTGGTTTTACTTTTACGCCGGATTGGCTTCGTTATTCGGTCGGATCATCTTCGGCCAAGTCTGCAACTTCCGTAAAGTCAACCCATTTTACGTCACACAGATAACTGCGTCGATTATCGGAGTGGCTACACTTTTACTTCCGCTTGCGCGTGCGCCGTTGGCGTTCATTGCGTACTCTCTTGTGAAAAAAAAATTTGATGGTGGTGTAAATACTCCTACCGCCCTTCTTGTTTTTGAGTGTGTTGGACGTGAGAGGATGGCTGCTGGTTGGAGTTCGTTCCTTTTTGCGACTGAAAAAAAAATATCAGCTGGACCACCACTCGCAGGTAAGACAAATCAAAGCTGATAAAAAAAATAAAACGTGCGATACAGTTAACGATTCGCAGTGTTAGCAATATCGAGTGTCAATTTTATGGGTGTTTTCAATTTAACAGTTTATTTAACATGGTTGGCGTCATTGAATAGTCAAAATTGTTGTTCATCCACGAGGAGAAGTCGAAAACGTTTATAAAAAAAAATAGAAATTMCAGAAAAATTAGAAATCTTGCGACGTTGGCATGCACTTTATTTTATATTTACCACACTTCTCACGAAATCAGAAATTAGAAAATTTGCAAATTTGGTAAAAAAAAAATTTTCAGTTTCATTTGAAGTATTGAATCTCATAGCATAAAAAAAACCTTCTTATCCCATCATTGCATTCGTACGGAATCGTTTTTGGGTGGAAAAAAAATAAGCTAATTGTTTTTACAGGATACATGGCAGATTCATTACAAAGCTACCACGCTTCCCTGTTTATGTCTGGCGCTGTAATTGTCGTTGGGGCAATGCTGCTTTTCCTGCTCAAATGTTTTCCTGTCGATGAGAAGACTCCAGGCTCACCCATTAAAAAAAAAATTCTCCCCCCGTCCGACWTTAACATCCATCCAACAAACCTCTCTAACGGGACAATCTCGACTAATGTGTCCAGTTACATGGTCATGGTCGTTTGAAAAAAATGTAAAAAGAATATTAATAAAAAGATTAAAATTTACAATTGTTTGGTTGAAAAAAAAAATGGTTTAACATGGYTGCAAATCCACTTATCGGCGCGCGCGCTATTAACATTTCTACGCGCAAACTATAAAAAAGGCGGGAAAATCTTAATTTTACTTAATATCATAAAAAATAACTTTACTTTATAGTTTTCAACTGTTGAAATGATAAAATAACATACATTATTCAAGAACAATCGGTTATTAAGATAATGCAGCATGTTTTTGTCAGTGGAAGAACCGGTTCGACATGATTTTGAAACTGGTTTGTCATGTYGGTACGCTAAAAAAAATTCCATTGCCGCGCAAACGTAAAAAAGGCGGGAAAATCCTAATTTTTGCAATAAAAATTAGGTTTATCATAGAAATTACTATATCTTATAGTGTACACCAAAAAAAAAATCAAAATAATAAGAATAAATAAAGGCTACTTAAACATTGATGAATTTTGCTTTATAATGTCACATTGAAATATAAAGTTCTAATTGCATGACAACAAAGAAAAAAAAGTCAAGTAGTTTCATCTTTTGTACACAAAAGTCTTCAAGAATGGACAATATAACATCAGCAGAGCTAAAAGAATTCAAGCAATCAGTAAAGAACTATCTCAAAAAAAAGTTTTCMAAAGARCCAACAGCACCAGTAAATGCGAGGCAAATTTGTAAAAAAAAAACAAGAAAATTAAAAGAGACAAGAAATGAACACTGTAAAATGGCGAAAAAAAACATGGATTGTGCGTATTCTTGCAAATACGTTGAACGTTTTTGGAAACATGCGAAAGCATTTGAGCTTGATACATTTAAAAGATAATCTTCAATAGTCTCAAAAAAAAATGAGTATAATTTCAAAAATAAACGTAATTTAATCTTATAGTGACATAAAAAAAATAATTTCAATATTGTCTTTCAATTAAAATTGCATGTTTTATATAAAAAAAAAAAGTCTGATAGAAAAGGTATCTACAAACTTAATTTTGGAAATTTCTAGAAAAAAAACGAATGTATCGCTAGGAAAGACAAAAATGATTTTAACGACATTTACAGCGAACTCTTTCGCATTTCAAAATATACTGTGAACTGTCTTCGTCCGATAGCTAAAAAAAACAATGAAAAAATCTTTCGCTTATAAAAGAACAAGTCATTTTACGCAAAAAAAAAATGCCAAAACGCTCCTTACAGGGAGTAGCCAGGGGGCATACTTGTGAGTGGTCGTCACAGGTCAAGCAAAGGAATGGAGCACATGCATACCAACAGCAGAAAAAAAAACTGTTTTGATCGTTCCTCACTAAGTATCTTTCCATTATCTCTGAGTAAAAAAAAGGGCATTCTTCAAATGTATTCGGACAGACAGACTTACAATAAAAGCACAAAAGATTCCCTAGCCCACAAGTCATTGAATAGAGGCCAAATGGAAGACAGTTAAGACAATAACATTCCATTTGTGTCGTCCTAAACTTCCAGTTGCATTCACAGCAAAAAAAGTTCCATGATAAACGCAAGGTTTCACTTGAACTTGGTTGTCTCTCTGTTTGCGGCTCTCTACGAGACGCAGGACGAGGCTGCGTTGTAATAACTCTAGCATTTTGCATGTTTCTTGAGCAGACGGCTGGTGTGGGACTAACATCTGCGACTCTGCAAAAAAAACGTGTTCTCTCAGTTCCTCTGAYTGTTTCGCGCTCGGTAGGAGAATAATTACTGACTGTGATACAAGGAATTCCGCCCGGCGTTGGAGTTCGCGGGAAAAAAACCGCATCTTCATAAGAGGGTGGTGGAGTAGTTGCAACTGTATGGCTGGCCAAAAAAAAAGCAAGACTTTACAGACTGATTTTTATGGTCATGTAATATCATGAGTATTTGTTTTCTATGTCATAAGTCATGAGATGTAAAAACGATAGTCTTCCGAAGAAAATGGTAACTTAGCAACCAGTAGTACGCTAAATACACAGATATTTCTCTAGCTTGCTGATGAGTGACAATGCAGACTCGTTCCCTGATAGGACATGGGATGCTTCGTGTTCACAAAACTTTGAATACTGATCGAGTACTGATATACTATAAAGTGCATGCATTCGATGACCGCAATGTATGATTGTTTTTGAGTTGCAAAATGGCAATAGCCGACTTTAGATATTTTGGTTCAGTGACCATGCACAAAAGAATTGCAGACGAGGCTCCGAAAAAAAAAAGAATAAATCAAGATTATCCATTGATAATTTTATTTTTTTTAATAAAAAAAAAAGTTAATGACCAATCAAAGAGCGTATAATATCGTTTTATTCTTTATAAAAAAAAAGCCTCGTCTGCAATTCTTTTGTGCATGGTCACTGAACCAAAATATAAAAAAAAGGCTATTATACTAGTCTAGTAAATATATTGCAATGCCAAAATAAATAAAAAAAAAGCTAAACCAAATAGCTTTCCATTGAAGTTCTTGACTTTAAGGAGCAAAAAAAAGCATTTCTTCAACCATGAAAAATGTTGAACGGCGAGACAATTGGGGAAAAAAAATATCCTCAGCATTTAACGTTTCCTGAAAAACTTGTGTAACTGTAAAAAAAAAAACCGGACTCGATACACCTTGCACACAGTTCTGGGAGCCGACAAAGCAAAAAAAAATACTTTGCTTTTACTATTTTCAAGATTGTACTCTTTATATCATAAGAAAAAAAAAATCATAAATACTTAAGAATTTAAAAATTATAAACTAACTCTAAAAAAAAAAAAGTGCTGCTTTCTCGTTGTTTTTCTATTTATTTATTATTATATTCATAAAAAAAATTTGTTTATTTGTTTGTTTTTATTTCCTTTTTTGTCCTTTGATATTAAAAAAAATCTATTCTTCTTATTTTCTAATTTCTTATATATTCTTTCGCCGGATAAAAAAAAACGAGTCACGCTGTTGCATTGAAAATCGTTACCTAGCAACCAATCCAAAAAAAAATTACAAATTAGAATATTTATTAGTCTGACATTATTTTGTGAAAGTAAAACTATGCGGAAACAACAATAGCGGTCTCTGAAGGAACATTTGAAGCATGGAAAAAAAAAGAGATCACTCTCCACCGCCATCATACAGCGAAACAATCGGCATACCACCTCCAGCTTACTCAGAAACTCCAGGAGAACACTTAAGACCACAGCAAAACACAAAAAAAACMGATAAYAGAGTTGCTCCATCGGCTCCAGATGCGTGGTGGTCGTCAAAAAAAAAAAATACTACCGTAATCACGGTACAACCAAGGCCACCAGAGAGAAATACAACATCTAACACTTCACAAACGGCAATAACTCAAGTCGAAACAGATCCCAGAAAAAAAAAAGGATGTTCTTGTAATGTTTATTGCGTTGCTTGTAAAAAYAGACCAAAAAAAATGGACGGGGAATGTTTCTGTTACAACTGTCTGATGTTTATGATCTAAAAAAAAACATGTGGACCAGGGACACTTGTTTGTATGTGCTGTAAGACTTTGTGTCCGGACTCTTATGGCGACTGCCCACCTAGACATACGAGCTTAAACGAGAGTTAAAAAAAAAGAAGTGAGAACATKTTTAGRTCKTGTTGTTGGTTTTTCTGTGGTCCAATATGTTGCATGACGTGTGACGAGTCTACCGAAGTGTGTCCCCTGGCTACCCCAAAAAAAAAGCATTGYGGTATGTCTTGTGTGCGGAAGATGACCTGCTACTGCGGAAAAAAAAGTWTWGSTGACTGCAGATGTARCMCTATGGACCAGCACGCCTGTGGATTCTTATGGGATTGTAAACAGATTGGTTGTAAATTATATTAAAGGTCGGCTTCTAGAGGTCCCAATAATATGTACAATATTGGTCGTCCAAGTAGAATTTCAGAATCAAAAAAAAACTATAAAGACATTTATGGTTTAAAAATGCTTTCATGAATTGCTTAAAAAAAAATAATAAGTTTATAAATTTCTGCATTTTGCTATATTTTTGTATTAAAAAAAAAAATTATTTGTAAATAATTAACTGCAATATTAAAGTAAATTAAATTATTAAAAAAAATAAAAATGAATTTTCTCGATCATTTACGCCTTCTGACTACGAAAAAAAAAAAAATAGCTGTCCTTGTAATACGAAAAGATTTTTTAGATTCAGAATTAGAAAAAAAAAAGTAAAATTCAGAATTTCCTCTAGGAGCAAAACCACAAACTTTCTTAAAAAAAAAGGGGGGATTGCGGATAAAACGGAAGCTATTTCCTAACATAACGACACTTCAATTCGGCTTTTAGATTTCCCATACCAATTTCACATTTTCAAACAACTTTGCATTTCCCAGATTTCAAATAAAAAGAAGTGACGACACATCAATTTTACGTCAAATTAAAGTTCGAGACCTAATTAATGACGTCAAAAACGCGCGCCTCAGCTAATTACCTCATTAACGAGTTAATTATCACTCTTTTTGTTAACTCGAACAAGATGGACGAGTTGCAAAACTTCAAACGAAAAAAATGTTCTTTATAGAAGAATTATTCATATTTCTCAGTGTATTTCTAATCTTTATCCTCTTCGAGGGTAAGGATGTTCTATACTGGCTGGCATGTAAGTACTTCTTTCGAAATTATAGCAATTTTTGCCATTTTTTTCTAAAAAAAAAGCTTCATCTATCATTCTTCACATCCATTGATTTGTGCTGGAATTTAAAAAAAATTCCAGGTATTTTGCTGGTCTTTGTATGGAAACAGGTCGAGTATTCTCAACTGAAAAAACTCCGTGTTTATGATGTTGTGATCTTGGTCAATGGCTTCGTAAAAAAAATTGTTTGCCTGTGGTAGGTGTCATGTATTAGTTATACAACTATTCAAAAAAAAATTGAATTAATGTAAAAAGACATCGAACTTGGCTTTCTTTTTAACAATAAACGAAAAATTACAGGCATTTGATCCGTAGTTGATTGGATGGCGGATTTGTTAAAAAAAATGCTAGTTGGTATAAGAGTTGGTTACATTGGTCTGTTGATTGGCTAAAAAAAAAAATATCAA